TATACGTCAGGTCATTCTTGACACCACGGGCAACATCAGTGCAGACCTCTGAGCTCCATAAAAGGCCACCTGTTTGGAATGTTAAAAGCTTATTCCAGGAAATGTCACAGGCAGAGATCGATTCAAGCAATTGTAAAATGGTCTTTGGTCATAGAAGAATAGTATGACATTGATACTCCCATGAAAGCAAGGTTGAATAGCACTTTTACTATCACTTCAAATGTACTCTTCACTAGTCTCACCATCCACAAGGTCCAGCGAATACATAACCTTGCTATCCGTATCCTTACCCGTACCAAACTTTGCACTCAAAACCATAATCCTCGACAAATTGATTGACTTCAAAGTCTTAACCCTCACATACAAATTCCTTCACTCCCTAACACCTCCCTCGCAACCTTCCTGACCTGCTCATACTCCACTCTTCTGGCTGCCTCCTTCGCTCAGCTAACACAGGCCTGCTACATCCGCCAACCCCTCCACACCACTCTCTAGTTCTAACCCCCAAATCCCCAAATTCCTGCCTCAATCATTCCATATAACCTCCTCTTTATTTTTAAATCCCTCCTGAAAACCTATCTCTTCGACCATGCCTAAGGTTACCTCCTCCCTTTCTCACTTGCTTGGTGTCAAATCCTGCCAATGTTATGCCACATGAAGGGTGCTACATTGTTATCGTAATTTTAGGTAGCAAAATATGAAAACAAGGGTTAACATCCATAGCTTGCAGGAAATACAAATATATTTGAAATACAAATGTGTAAAATGATTTAAGTACAATTTAGGCACTGTCAGATCTCCTGCCTCCAATAATAAATACAGGCAGAAGGCAAAAACAAGAGGACAACGAGCATTGATGGGCTGGCTGGAGGAAATGTTTAAACACCTGCAATAAAAATAAAATATATTCATTAGGTTTTAATAATAATAATTCTTGCATTTGATATAATGTTTATTGCGTCATTGAGACGTCTTAAAACTCTTCACACAATATATTGTGAAGTGAATTGACTGTATTTTGGGGGCAAAACACGGCAGCCAATTGCACACAGCATTGTCCTTCCATCTAGCTGTATATAAAGCTACCAGCTGAACCAAATATTTCTGATTTAAAATCCATAGCTCTTCACACTGCGATTCAAAACACCAAAACCCAGCAATTGGCTGCTGCGTTTTGCCCACAAAATACAGTCAATTCACTTTACAGTATATTCTGTTAAGCGCTTTAAGACGTCTCGAAGACATGATAAGGCACTATATCAAATGCAAGGATTATTATCATTATTATTTCTATCTTTGACTACTGTTTAAGGAAGAAACAAACTGCTACTGCATTTTTAATCAATAATTGTTCTAATTTAATAGAATTGAAGCAAAGATGAAAGGGCTGCCCTGGAGACTTTAGATTCAGCAATCCTTGTTCTGCCTTCAGAAATGGATACTTCAGGGTAGTGTGATCATTTATTCAGCGACAGTGCCTCTGTATCCCCAACAAATGAAAGGGCATTTTCCATACGCATATTTCAGAGTCAAACGAAAGTCACTGGAACAAAAACACTGCATGATCTCATATTACCTAAATGTACTGGTTATAAATCAACAATGTGAACAAAGGGGCCTCTTAAACCAGCTATTAGAGAATGATAGGGTCTCAGTAAAGTGCTACCGATTAAAGAAGAGCTGAATTCAATTTAATTTTATATCTTTACAAACAGGGGCCATTCTTGCAGCTCGGGGCTCAATTGTGTTAGTGTGGAAGCTGCAATCAGGTGACTCATCAGTTGCTGAAGCTTGGACTGGGTTCACCAGTACAGTAACACACAAAAACAGCTACTCATAAAACTCCCCACTGCCAAAAGGGGAGGAAAATCAATTCAAATTAAAAGATGCTCAAACAAGTCAACACTTTAATTTGGTCAGCCAAACAAAAATTTGCCCTAGTTCTCCAATTGGAAAATCAAACTGGTCTAAGCAAGACTAATTGCTGCAAGGCATGTAAACCAATCACCCTTTCAAAATTGGTTAATTAATATGTCTCAAGAGATAGGGACATCACATATCAAAAACACATTTAGCATAGATTAGCAATGCACTAATAATTATGAATTTCCATTGCAAGAAATGCTGCGAAACAGAAAGCTGCAGATGCATTGTTCCAGCTGTACATCAAACTCTAGTAAGTGTTGACCTCGCCATCTGAACTGCCATCTGCTTTCATTATACTGTATTTATTAACGGGGAATGAAGATCTAGAAAGAACTTCCTCTTCAAAGTACTCCCAATAGAAATTGCTACAAAACAATACTTTCCCTATACTGAGGATTCTTGCTTTAAAACAGAAAGTGGGTTTCACCTCCCTCAGGCACTTGGCTGCTCCAATAATGTGTTACAGGAAGAGCCAGAGTGGCTCCATGGAACTTCACAGGAATATGCACTTTGGACTGGTCTGAGAACTGAACCAGAACCAGATGAGTTTCTGTATCCATGAATTTACAATTCTTTGGAAGTATCCAAGGCTCAAGCACTCACAGCCATTCACACACACACCCTTGCTGTGCTGAAGGGTCTTCGGTTTCAGATATCAAGAAATCACCAAAGCAGGAAAAGATGGGTTCCAGACACAACAATTTCTACACCTATTTTGTCTATTTGAAAGCACTTTGAGCAAGAAGTAGTCCCTCTAGAATTCAGATCCTCTGAAACAGCTGGAGTGTAGTGGAGCTAAAACTGTTAACAGAATCATACTGCCAAAGTCAGAAAGATATGAAGCAGTGAAGTACTACTGGCCAGTTTAATTTGATTATGTAAGATCAAAATATCCAACCGTTTACACACAGAACTGTCCTACTACAGTTAGTGTTAGCCTTGTTTTGGATATGGAAATTCTCATATGGCTTACCCATGCTAGCTGAGATTTGCCATATAGGTACAAATGATAAAGGGAACTTACTACGTTGGCTTATTTTAAATAACTTTCAACACTTGTGCAAGTAAACTCAGAATTAAGAGAGGAACAGCTTCTTTCTACACTAGGGGATTATTTAGGGTGCAAAATTAACATTAGTCTGCAAGGCCAGGGGCAACATTCCAATACCAATAAAGCAGATACACTTGGGACTGGTCTCAAAGCTTAGGTTATTTTATGAGCAGCCAATAGTGGAAAAGTAGTAGCATAACCTAATGGCAGACAAATTAATTTTTAGCTACTGCTCTTGCTGTCCAATACCCTAGATCTACTTTTGAGAACCTAAACCACTCCAAAATCAGATGACATCCGTTCTCTGATGTGCAATACTATATTCATTTTTCAAGTCTCTTTAAGAACTTGGTAAAAGTGGAACACTAGTTACCCCATTCAGTGAACTGCACTACAATCATGTACGTGATGCCAATCCTGCTAATAAATAATGTGACTGATGATATTCACAAACATGAGCTCAATTCAGTTCAAAACACAGCAACTGCTCCCAAATTTTGAGGGAGAAGCGGGCGGGGGAGGGAGAGACACTATCGACAAAAGGAAAATTGAACTGGATTAATCACAGTTTTTGTAATGGTATCTCGATGTGCTGGTACTCTTAAAATGCAATGCCAGAGGTAAAAGTTATTACTCTCAAATGTAAATTCCAAGAGAAGAGTTGAGAGGAACCCTGACAATTCCTCACAAGGAGGGAGGCAAAACCTAGGCATCCAAATGAGAGGATGAAAAGGACAACCATGCCAAGGTATAAGTGGATAATCTAGATTTTTTTTAAGCTACAATAATAATCCTTGCATTTGATATAGCACCTCTCACAACTGGAGGACGCCTCAAAGGGCAAGATTTTACTGTGAAGTTCAGTGACTTTATTTATATTCCCTGCTTCCCCCCCTGCTCTCCACCCTCCCCGACCCCCAGCTCGGGTCCATAACTCTGTCTGTCCGGCACCTTGGGACGTCCTCCCAATGTGAAAGGCGCTTTACGAATGTAATTTTGTTGTTGTTGTAGACAAATGCGGCAGCTCATTTGCGTACAACAATGTCTCACAAACAGTCATGAAGGGCATAACCAATTTTATTTGTGGGAATTATTGGCCAGGACACCAGGAGAAACTCCTTTCTCTTTTCAAGTAGTGATCTTTAACATCCACCTGAAGAGGGAGATGAGACCTTAGTTTGATGTCTCACCCAAAGGTTGGCACCTCCAACAATGCAATACACCCCCAGCAACGCACTGGAGTATCAGCCTAGACTTTGTGAGTTCAAATCCCAATGTGGGACTCAAACCTACAACTTTTACTCAGAGGCAAGAGTGCTACCAACTGAGCCAGAATGACGCAGAAGCTTTAATGAACATGATAATCTAAAGGATTTATTTTGAATTATTAAATTGGTTACTTAAAAGGAATCACAAGTACATTTAAGGTAATCTCAACATACTTACATTTTTAAATCACTGCAGGAAATGATTCCCATAACAGGGAAAGGCTCGCTACTATGTCCAGCAAGGCAGCTCTGAACTCCAGTGTCAAGAAATGAGTCTTGGCTGCAGGTGGATGTAAACATGCAGATACAAACTACTTATCCTGCCAACATCCAAATTTGGGTCTGAGAGGGAATCAAGAATGCTGGAAAGCATCTTTTTCATTGGCAGTCTGTTGGTAGAATTGCTATTGATGCAATAGCAATTCTACCAACAGTGACACAAATATACTCAACTTCTTCAGAAATCCTATATGTGTTGTTCTGTAGAATGCTTAGCACCGAAGTTTCAAACTATAAACAGTTAGGAAAAGCAGGATTCTTTGAATGTCAATGCAGCACCAACAATTTCTCATTTTATCTCAGATTTACATCAAAGCATATCGCCAACAACACTTCTATAATAAAAGTCTACACAACAGTACCTGTGGGAGCTATCGTATGTCTTTACCAATCACAGGTTTTCAATGACTGCCACTGAAGAAAATTGGCTGTAGGAGATGGAAAGAAGCAAAGCAGCACATTGATTTGAATCTTACCTCCATAATGAACAGGGATCTCTATTTTTGGCCCTATAACATAATGGCCCTCTTCCAAGCTGTGGGCAGTGATAGTTGTCCATTGCCGGCATGAATGAAGCAAAACCAAATCATTCTCTCGTATCCCTTCCACGGTTTCTCCTGCAACAAATACATTTCATTGTCATTAGCAAACCATAATAGATATACTTTCAAGGGTATTTCCATGGTCATGCTAGATCATTACATTTAATTTTAAGTGCTTATTGTTAATTTTTTATTTCGCAGACTAATATGTCCTACTTCAATTCCCCCATCACAAAAATGGGGCTCAGAAATTAGAATGATGAACTCAGATAGCTTGATGTCAAAGTTGAAACAATTATCAAATCCAAGCTTATACATAATGGAGAGAATATGCCTATGATTTTGTCACACCACAATTTTATTTTTTTAACATTGGTTCTCAAAAGAATAAACTGCTTCAAAATTAGAATTTCTGAGCACCCACTTTGATTATTCATTCATATTAATTTCTAAGAGATATGGGAAAACCAGAAATAAAGATCTTTATGTAAAGAAAAAAACATATTTATTTTCTTGTTCAGATGAAGCAATAAAAATAAACTTCTGATGGGATCTAAATCTCAGTATGTTCTGCATAGAAAGAACTAGGGAGCAAATCGCTGATAAATTGCTAGGGTATTTTGAGTATATGACTGCATTTTTTGTTAAAGAAACTGGTCACTTCAATAAAACAACGGAGCTCTAATGTCCTCAGACTGAAGTTGCTGCAAAAAAAATACAGCTTTCCAAATTTTCAAATGATTCATAGATTCATAGAATATTACAGCACAGAAGAAGGCCATTCGGCCCATCGAGTCTGTGCCGGCTCTTTGATAGAGCAAGTCACTTTCACTAACCCCACTCACCAGCTTTCTCCCGATAACCCTGCAAACCCGTCTTCCCCAGATACCTATCCAGTTCTCTCTTAAAAGCTGTTATCGAATTGAACTTGACTACCCTTTCAGGCAGATCATTCCAAATTCGAACAACAATGATCAGGGACCAAATTTCAAAGATGTTTCTCTCAGCTCAAAACTTATGTACTAAGAGTATGACTGATTTCCCAAGTTGCATATCTTTATAAATAATGCATTTGATATAGCACTTCATCAATTTGTCAAAATATCCCAAAGCACTTCACAGGATTCACTGTAAAGCAGTAGTGGTCAACCAATGGCCCGTGGGCCGGAAGTTGCCCAAGAAGCCATCAAGTAATGGCCCTAACGAACTTACCTACTAGTCTAGGTAAGTCCGTGTTCAATCAATAATGTGTTTTTTCTTGATTGAATATTTCTTGATTTATGGCATAAAGCAATCAAGAAAATTTATTTTGTTAGCCAACAAAAAGGTTGGCCACCACTGCTGTACAGTGAGGTGACTAGTGTTATACAAGCGAGCATGAGCTCCAAAATAATAATTACCCCCATTATCCACTTAATAAAACTTTCAAATTATGAACAAAAATATAAGCTTTTAGAAAAAGACAAGTGATGCACTAAGTCATAATTTGAAACAGATTTTTAACATCAGCCCAAATCTCCATTACTGTGAACATTTCAGGTAGTGATGGATTGGGGTTTGAAATAGGTTGAGATGAAACACTGTCAAGGTTGCACTCTGAATTAAGCCTGATTGAGGAACCAGGGAGGTTAATGAAATTCGAGACAAACCCTTTACAGCTGCCAACAGCCGATCAAGATGACTTGTATTGTTTGATGTTGAGCTGTAGAAAGTTAGATTTATGCCAGATAGGTAATAAAACAGCAAATGTCCTCTTCAAGAGTAATAGTGGAGCAGAGTTGGACATCAGTGCACATATAGAAACTATGCTCATGCTTGTGATAAGCTAAATGAAAGATTTTAAAGGTGGAATAGTTATTTAAGAAGTAGCTATCCTGTTTAGCAATATCTGAAACTGTACAAATCTGATCATCCCACAGAGGTAGACCTGCTCACACAACAAAAGTGTTGCACAAATTGAGCAGACCAGTAAAACATTTTCCAAGTATTTACATATTTATGAAGGATTATTAAAAACATTTTTGGGGGAAATGCAAGATTAATTTAAGATATGTCCATTCGTACTTTGAAATGTGGGGCTATTTTAATCAGCACAAGCAGATCTTTTAAATGGGTAAGTATGAATTTCAGTTGTTTGGACAAATAATGGAATATAGTAATATTTTCAGTAACTTGTAGCCTGGAATGTTTATTCTGTGTGAAACGTCAGGTATAAAAACAATCTATACAATTTTTTTATGGTACATTCCAGAACTTCATAAAGAATATTTTCTGTATAACTGCTCCAGGTGGTGCCAAGAGGATGGTGCAAAGCTCTCATACATTTTATGCAAAGTTGTGCTGCTCACTAAGAGGCTTAAACCAAGGAGTTCCTGGCATCTGTTATCCACTTAGTGAGGGTACAAAGCTGTATTTATTGGCTGTCAAATGAGCAACTAGTGACTTTCTTGGGGAAGGGAAGTACAAGAGGAAGTAAGCGCCAAGGTAACATGTTTTACAACAGAATATTAAAGTCAAGTCAACCTCCTGCGCAGTTTAGGTGGTCTGGTTCCTGAGTCAAGTGGGTCCACAGTATTCCAAGGCATTGTTGATGGCTGATGAAGATAGAAGATGTGAGATGTATTAAACATGGAAATGTTAGCATTGTGCTTGTTCAAACTATTTTTGAAGATTGGTTCCCTGATGGAGCAGACCTAATATTTTTCACTTCACTCCCTGTCACTATTCATTTATTTCAACAACAACTTGGATTTATATAGCGCCCTCCATATTGGGGCAGCGTCTCAGAGTGCTTTACAGTAACGGATCCCAGGGCTGAGCCAGGGGGATGGGGAGGAAGGTTGACCAAAGGCGTGATCGAAGAGAAAGGTCTTCAGCAGGGACCTGAAAATAGGAGAGAGGGAGCGAGGTGAAGGGAGTGAGGAAGGGAGTTCCAGAGCCTCGGGGCATAGTGGCTGAAGGCACAGCCGCCAAGGGTGGAGCGGAGGACTCGGAACAAGGAGGAGGCCAGATCCGGCGGAAGAAAGGCAACGGGTATGGATGGTAGTGGAGGGAGGCCAGTTTATTCAGTTTATTGTTAAGTGAAATTAAGTTTTAATAAACATTCTTAATAAATATTCAAATGTCTTGAGAATGTGGTTGATGACCTCAAGAATTACAACAACAAAATTACATTTGTATAGGAGTCCTGTAGCTCAGTGGTTGGAGCACTTGCCTTGCAAGCGAGACACCTGGGTTCAATTCCAGGCAGGGCGAAACCTTGGGCAAGTTTCCTTACTCCACACGCCTAATAATAATCCCTCCAAAAAACAAAAACAATAATAAATTGGTCATTTTCAATCGACCACTGTTTTGTGGGACACTGCTGTGTGCAATTGGCTGCCGCGTTTCACCCACAAATATACAGTCAATTCACTTTACAGCATATTCTGTGAAGCGCTTTGAGATGTCTAGAAGTCATGAAAAGCGCTATATCAAATGCAAGGATTATTATTATTATAGCGCTTTTCACGTCAGGAGGACATCCCAAGGCGCTGGACAGTCAGAGTTTCAGACCCAAGCTGGGGGCCGAGATCGGGGGAGTACAATGGGGGAAGCAGGGTAATCGAAAGCAGGATCGAAGAGGAGGGTCTTGAGATTGGTCTTGAAGAAAGCAAAGGAGCGGGGCGAGGTGGAGGGACTGCGGGATGGAGTTCCAAAGGGTGGGGCGGAGTGGCAGAAGGCCCGCACGCCAATGGTGGGGTGAGCGAGACGGGGGACCTGAAGCGGGCCAGAGCCCGCTGAGCAGAGGGAGCAGACAGGATGGTAAAGGGTTAGGAGATCGCAGAGGTAGGGGAGAGCAAAAGGATGCAGGGCTTTGGAGGTGAAGACCAGGATCTTGAACTGTATCTATCTTCTGTGTGATGGTAAGCCAGTGGAGTTGGGCAAGGATGAGGGGATAGTCACGGAGCCTGGTGCGGGAGAGGACACGGGCTGCAGAGTACATTTTTGTATAAATTATAATCCCAATGAATATAAACTATAAACGTTACTTAATGGAGTGGGGTGATCTTTCATTAAAACGTATACCCTATTTTTCAGCAACATCTGAGACACTTTTCTCTCCCAAGATTCCAAGTCTGAAACCAGAGATATGATTTCTAGTAAAAATTCCCTCCATACGACATTCAGCTCACCATATTGCACTGCACACTGGGGCCAAAATAAACACCACACAAACTTACTACACTAGAGACAACAAACCAGGATAAAGATTTATGGTATGAATTTAGGAACCATGCCAAATTGAAGTGTAAAATTAAAAGAATGGAAGAAAAATTGTACCACAATGAAAAATCTACATGAACTACATTATATCGGGGCTGACAACATGGGAATCCAGACAGTAAAAAATCTATTCAAATGGATGAGTACACCCAATTCAAGTACAAACACGTATACGTCTGATCCAATGATAAATGGGGAAAAAAGTAAAAACTATTTAAATTTTCAACCAATTTTATTTCACCACCATCTTTCGCAAAATACAACTTTTGGTGAGATTCCCAAGATTTAATTGATGGCTGTCAAATCAGACTGTGGCAATTAATCTGAAAGCCCAAATCGTAAATAAGAGGGTAATTGCACATCAATAATCAGGTCAGAAATATGATCTGTATTTTTATCTCAAGATCAGGAAAATTCTTTATCACAGCTTGATGGATTGAAGTGCAGAGACTTATGGGTGGGTGGGGGGAGAAAGAGAATGAAGAGCAACTGCTTTTTGGGGTTTTACAGCTTGCTATCAACATGAGAAATTTAAGCTCTGTTGAAACACAAGTTGAGACATCTTCTATGGAAAACATAGATGAGAGCCCAATAACTATTGTGCAGCACGCTGCCAAGGTTCAAAAAAGTCAGTGATGAGTGATTGTGGAAACAAAAGGGCGAGGGTGAAAGAAGTCATTTCAATCTCTTCCTCCAAAAAATAACCAAGTTTCATTTTTTAAAAATCTACAAAGATACATTCACCTTTTTATACTGGTAAAAGGCAGCCTGTAATCATTTATTACTTTGGTCAGCAGAATGTCTGACATATGGAAAAGCATCACCACACCTCAGATTATCCAAACAGAGTTTCAGATGGAGTTCCACAAACATGTGGCAAGGTTTCCACTGCTTGTCCATCTAAGGCCATCCCTAACCATCAAGACTTGCACAGTTAACAAGTGGGAAGAATACCTAGTCCCAGTGATCAGTCTGTCTCTCCAAGTTCTGTCAATGAGCAAGGCTAGCTGGTCTGTCATCAGCAGTCCCACCTGGTTCAGGAACTGAACTATGGAGACCACCACAGACTGTATTTAGTTAATTTTCACTAACTAAATACAGAGCCAATCCACTTAACAGTATATCCTTATGAAGCACTTTGTGACATCTCAATGACGTGATAAGTTGCTGTATCAAATGCAAGGATTATTATAATAATTTTGAAATTCCAATGTCAAACATGTTACCTTGGAGGCAGCACATCTCCAACAAAAACCTACTTAGCCTCTTCTCCTCACTCCCCCCTCGGGAACAAGAAGGATCAGCAAAACAAAGTGCTACAATTAGGTCAGAAATGCCTGGAACTGAAGTTTATTCTCCCCAATGTTATCCCATACAACACTAATGAATAATCAAATTATGGTATGTGACAGGTTGTCTCTTGTGTTAGCCAACATACAAGAAAACATTAAAAATACCTACAGGGGTCTTTGGTATTTTTCAATGCTACTGTATAAGCAGTATATCAAATGTCAAGAAGCTGAAAAGGCCATGTCTACTACGCAATTGTGTCCAGGTTTACACTTCATAGGTTTTGAGTGGGCAAGCAAAACAGTCCTTTCCAGCTAATTATTCTAAAGTTGCTTCCAAATTTAAAATGGTCAATGGAAGCCAAGACTCAAAAAAGGTTATGTTAATTGGGATTAACAAAACAACTAAAAATAGAAGGAACCAGGGAACCCAGAATTTAATTTAACATTGGTTACTTCAATGATACATTACAGAACTGACGTTACTGCTGACATTTCAAACATTTCATTAGAATATCCTTAGTGCTCATTTCCTGGAATTTCTGAAAACCTGCATTTTAAGGGTTAAAATGTATCCCACAAGGAAACAAAGTTCATATTTAGTTCATTTACACATTTAGCTCCCTTTAGTGGGAGACATCCTATCTTTGATCCATAAACAATATACAATGGGTGGGGGGGGGCAGAAACAGTAACCTTCCCCACTTCCAAAACAGAACAAATTGTACACAGACACTGAAATGCACTGATTTATTGCATCAGTTTCCAAGAAATTTGCGAGGTTAGTTATAACCACACTTCTTTCAGGAGCTACCACTCAAACTGAAAAACCGAACCTTTGGAGACAGTATCGCAAAGCACATATCAGCTCTACACAGCTCTACACAATTCAATTTACAACCAACCAAAACCAATTCCCGATCATACGCAACCAAACATTCTACGAAAAAACCCCACCCCTGCGCGTCAATGTGTTAAATTTACATACAGTATTACTGTACTCTATTTCGCCCACAAAATATAGTCAATTCACTTTATAGTATATTTTGTAAAGCGCTTTGAGACATGATAAGGTGCCATATCAAATGCAAGGATTATTATTATACTAAACAGCTTTTGAGTAAAATTACGACTGTTTGTGGGACACTGCTGTGCGCAATTGTTTCACCCACAAAAATACAGTCAATTCACTTTACACTCTATTCTGTGAAGCCCTTTGAGACGTTGAGAAGACGTGAAAAGTGCTATATCAAATGCAAGGATTATTATTATTACACTGAAAACCTAACATATTCAGATGAATATTTAGACTTCAAAACTAAATTGTAAAAAATATTTTGATGTAATTTAGAAATACACTACTTGAGTTTCCTCGAGTCCAGCACAACCCCAAAACAAAAAAAACTCTACAATGACTGCTGCATTTCACCACACAAGCCGCCAATTAAACACTTCAGTCACTTCAATCAAACTCATTACAATCTCTCTCTACATCCCATACCAGACCCTTAATACCCCAAAGGAGAGTAAATTTTCACCCAAAGGATAGTGGAAATCTGGAACTCTCTCCCCAAAAGGCTGTAGCTACTGGTTTCATTCACACCTTCAAAACTGAGGTGGATAGCTATTTGTTAGGTCAGGATATCAAGAGACACGGGGCAAGAGCAAGTAATTGGAATTGAGGTGCAGATCAGCCATGATCTTACAGAATGGGGGAACAGGCTAAAGGGGCTGAATGGCCTAGTTCTGTTTCTATGTTTCTAATATCCCCCGATACCCAGACCCTCAATATACCCAAATAAATAATCCTTGCATTTGATATAGTGCTTTTTACGTCTTCTAGACGTCTCAAAGCACTTCACAGAATCGCTGTAAAGTGAATTGACTGTATATTTGTGGGCGAAACGCAGCAACCAATTGCGCACAGCAGTGTCCCACAAAAAATGGTGGATTAAAAATGATCAATTTATTATTGTTTTTTTGGAGGGATTATTATCAGGGGTGTGGAGTAAGGAAACTTGCCCAAGGTTTCGCCCTGACTGCCTGGAATTGAACCCAGGTCTCGCTTGCAAAGCGAGTGCTCTAACCACTGAGCTACAGGACTCCACCCGATACCCAGACCCTCAATACACCCGATACCCAGACCCTAAATACACCCGATACCCAGACCCTCAATACACCCGATACCCAGACCCTCAATACACCCGATACCCAGACCCTCAATACACCCGATACCCAGACCCTCAATACACCCGATACCCAGACCCTCAATACACCCGATACCCAGACCCTCAATACACCCGATACCCAGACCCTCAATACACCGGATACCCAGACCCTCAATACACCCGATACCCAGACCCTCAATACACCCGATACCCAGACCCTCAATACACCCGATACCCAGACCCTCAATACACCCGATACCCAGACCCTCAATACACCGATACCCAGACCCTCAATACACCCGATACCCAGACCCTCAATACACCCGATACCCAGACCCTCAATACACCCGATACCCAGACCCTCAATACACCGGATACCCAGACCCTCAATACACCCGATACCCAGACCCTCAATACACCCGATACCCAGACCCTCAATACACCCGATACCCAGACCCTCAATACACCCGATACCCAGACCCTCAATACACCCGATACCCAGACCCTCAATACACCGGATACCCAGACCCTCAATACACCCGATACCCAGACCCTCAATACACCCGATACCCAGACCCTCAATACACCCGATACCCAGACCCTCAATACACCCGATACCCAGACCCTCAATACACCCGATACCCAGACCCTCAATACACCCGATACCCAGACCCTCAATACACCGGATGCCCAGACCCTCAATACACCCGATACCCAGACCCTCAATACACCCGATACCCAGACCCTCAATACACCCGATGCCCAGACCCTCAATACACCGGATGCCCAGACCCTCAATACACCCGATACCCAGACCCTCAATACACCCGATACCCAGACCCTCAATACACCGGATGCCCAGACCCTCAATACACCCGATACCCAGACCCTCAATACACCCGATACCCAGACCCTCAGTTCACCCGATACCCAGACCCTCAGTACACCCGATACCCAGACCCTCAATACACCCGATACCCAGACCCTCAATACACCGGATGCCCAGGCGGGTTCGGCCTTGCTCAGCGTCTCTCACCGGTGTCCAGCCTGACGAGTTGGGGTAGTCGGTAGGAGCTGACGAGCAGGTCGAGCGGCAGAGCCACGCCGCTCCACTGTATCTCCCGGTGAGCGGTGGCCGCCTCCATGTCTGGCGGTCGGGGGGCGCCGCGCGGGGCGAGGGCACGAGCGGCGGCAGCTGATCAGCCGCGGCCCAACCCCATCTCGCGCGGCGGCGGTTGGAGTGCGTGCGCGGCGGCGGCGGCGGCGGCCGTGTCCGGGCTGTGGCTGTGGGCGCTGCTGCGGGTGTCCTGGGGGCTGTACTCGGAGTGGAGTTGTGCCGCGCTGAGCGCTCATCGCCATTCCCGGAGTCACACGCTCGGCTCGGGGCCTGGGGGGGGGGGGGGGGGGGGAGGCTGTCCCCGCCTCGACACCGAGCGCCGCCTCCCGGCCCCACCGCAGCACCACCTCCGCCTGGTGGGCAGCCGTCTGGCCGCGGGTTGAGCGGGTTGTAGCCCAAAAACTAGCCCGAAAGTAGCCCAACGTTACCTGTCATCAAAGTGGCCAATTTTGGGCACAATTTTGGGCCGATTTGTACTCAGGGTTGAGTTGGTCTTTCAGGCAGTGATCATGTAAACAGCAGTGGGTCAATGCACTGGATGGTAGAGAATGCACTGGATGCGGACTTGCTGCATAATTACAATACTTTAGTTTTATATTACCTGTGTATATGAAACCTGACATTATTAATTGACACGGCAATAAATCCAAAACACACGCTTTTTTTTTAAATGCACGGTCAAAACCTGAAAAGATTTCACACGTCCAATATAAATAAATGCCAGATATTAGTCGATGCAATTTCAACACGATTAAGATTGATTGATTGAAGACGTGATGATGCGGCTTCAAGACACTTATTTTGCATGAGTGGGCCAAAAGGGTGTGAGTTGTTAATGTTGCCACAGTTTAGTCCTTATATCAATCTCTTCCTGCATCAACTCTTCTCACATAGAAATTACTGCAGACCAAGAGCTCATCCAACATAACGCCTAATAATAATCCCTCCAAAACCAAAAACAATAATAAAAATTGGTCATTTTCAATCTACGACTGTTTGTGGGACATTGCTGTGCGCAATTGGCTGCCGCGTTCGCCCACAAATATACAGTCAATTCACTTTACAGTGTGTTCTGTGAAGCGCTTTGGGACGTCCTCCCGACGTGAGAAACGCTATATCAAATGCAAGGATTATTATTATTATTATAAGAAAGTACAAATATTAGTTTACCCACTGGAACTATCTATTATAATTCCATTGACCTTCTGTTTCCCCCATAACCTTTTATATTCTCATATTCCTTCACTAATCTGGTTAAGCAAAAATGCACCCAATGCTTTCTGATATACATATGTCGAGTATATATTACTGATTTTACTGTTATGTCAGGGCTTTTCTGGTAAGTAAATACAAGTTGTTGTTGTAAGTACCATTGATAGCTGTTTGTCCTTTGCTCCCAACATAATAAAATTATAGACTAGTTGCAATGGATGTTCAAAAATAGTTACAACCCACTGAGAATTTTGTTAATCAAATTTAGATAAAGAGGTAGAATTATGCTACCCCAAATATTTTTCTTTTCTCATAACATAACATAACATAACATGTAGGAGCAGGAACAGCCTGCCCCGCCATTCAATCATGGCTAATCTTCTAATCTAACTCCAGCTAATAGCTAATAGAATTATTCTCCTTGGCATAGATTGAAACTTATAATGTTAAAGAGATATTTCACTGAGCAAGCGTAGACAGTACAAGTATATGGATTGCTTTGTGAGAATGATTTTAGGAATAATCTGTTTGCACGCAAAGGTTTGTGTGCACATCAAATGCATTGAGGACTATGTAAATCTTCAGGACAAAAGCATTGCGTACAACTGATGTTTGGATTCATTTATACAATTGGGCTTGACTCTAGATCTGTAACTGTTTAAGAGAACAATGCACTATTGATTGATCCTTTGTTCGACATTAATGGATTAATATCTGAGCATTATAGCCTTGATTTTCCTAGTTTGATATATAAGCAAATACATGAGATTTATGGTTTTTTCTTTATTTTGGCACAATTCAAGGAAAAAACTCTGCTGCTTACTGGCAAACATTGTTTTAATGTAATATAATATATAAAGCATATTTACATAAAATTTCACTAGCTCCCTTGAACAGAACAGTAAAAAAGGCTTCATGTTTGCTAAATGATCCTTTCATCATCTCTGGCATCCAAATTTTCTCTCCATTTTATCTGTATGTCATTGATACAGTATTATAGCTCTACACCTGATTGTTCAGCGCTTTGGGATGTCCTCCCGACATGAAAAGCGCTCTATAAATGTTGTGTTGTATAACATCAGCTCCATAGATATTGCTCTCTTGCTCCTTCTGAGCTCAGTGGTTAGAGCACTCGCTTTGCAAGTGAGAGATTTGAGTTCAATTCCAGGCAGAGGGCGAAACCTTGGGCAAGTTTCCTTACTCCACACAGAGCCTAATAATAATCCCTCCAAAACCAAAAACAATAATAAATTGGTCATTTTCAATCTACGACTGTTTGTGGGACATTGCTGTGCGCAATTGGCTGCCGCGTTCGCCCACAAATATACAGTCAATTCACTTTACAGTATATTCTGTGAAGCGCTTTGGGACGTCCTCCCGACGTGAAAAGCGCTATATCAAATGCAAGGATTATTACTTTATTATTATTATAATTAAATGTGGAATCTTACAGGTTATTTCTCCTCTCTGCACCTGACTATGTTGTAACCAAAACACTGTCTCATAATCTATTCCTTTAGGGGCAGACTTGGAGCAGGGATTCTTCCCACTCATCTCCTGTTGATCCTAGAAACCAAAGCCCTAATGGATAGGATGATCCGATCTGGACATCCATCTGGAAAGCTTGCTGGACAGTGCTTGCAATGGAGTTTTAACTAGTTAAACTCCAGCACTACCTACCCCAATGCAAACTCTGGTGACCTGAAGCCTTGGGTCTTGCCAGCCTGCACCTAATACTTTACAGAATTAATAAGCAGGATGTGTGTCTCAGGGAAGCACATTTCATTCTAATATATGAGAGTTTCCAATATGTAGGTGGGATGCATGGAACTCTCAGTTTGGTTTTGATATTGTTATTGAATGGTGATGGGTTTCTGCATGTATCAGACACCCAGCTGACCCTCCAAAAATCTATTCTTTGGAGACGCCAAATTATCAGTATTTTCTCTTCCTTCTTTCCCCTCAGTAGCATGCAACTGACCCCAATGCCAACATCAGCGTGCTTCATGCCTCGATCTGCCATGAATAGTAGGTGAACTAGTCAGGTTTTCAAATCCTCTCATACCCTCGCACCTCTCTACTTATCCAATTTGCTTATCCCCCACTCCACCACCCGCAGCTTCCATTAAGCCGGCTCTGGCCTCCTGTTCGTCCCTTGCCCCCTCCGCCGCACCATTGGCGACCGTACTTTCAGCCACTACGCCCCGAAGCTCTGGAACTCCCTCCCTCAATCCCTCCGCCTTGCCCGCTACCTCCCCACTTTCAAATCCCACCTAATACTTTCCTTTTGATCATGCTTGCTGTCACCTCCCCCCTCCCTTTCCCTCTAGATCAAGGTCAGACTCCACTACTGTCAAGCGCTCCGGGACACTATCCTGCATGAAGGGTGCTATATAAAGGGTAAGTTGTTGCTGTTGAACCTTCAACCACTTTTCCACTGCCCCCTGGAACTCTCTTCCAAAATCCCTCTGCCTTGCCCCATTCCTTATTGCTTTCCAAGCCCGCCTAAAGACTTATCTCTTTGACTATGCCTTTAGCTATCTTCCCCCTATAACCCTCCTATCTCCCTCTCAATCTTCAGAAAACACTTTTTGAGATATTCTCTCCACTTGAAAGGCTCTATATAAGTGCAAATTGCTGTTGTTGTATGGAGCGTAGTGTTTTCTGTCAATCTGTGGAATGAATCAGAGGCGAATTTTAGTAGGACAAAATATGAATACTTTATGGTGTCAGCTAGATACTATACAACTTGAAAGTTTTCTCTGACAGTGTTGCCATTCTTTCATTAGACTACAGTGAATCTGTGTGTATGTGGTGGTCAGGGCAGAGTGGAGGGAAAGAGTCTGTGCTGTTTCCTCTCTTTACCAATGCTCAAAGTCAGACAGTTTAAGAATAGATCAAGAAATTTGTTCTGATGTAAAGATGGTACAGTGTGTTGCAAGAGACAGAAAGAATCTATAAATTTACAGTCCCTTTGTACGTTTGCTTCAATTTTAGTGACATTATTGTGTCATATTAGTAAATGTAGCTGTTGTAACATTGTACACAAAAGTGAGGGAGTGAAAAGTTGGAAGAGGTCAAAGCTGTGTTTTGTATGTGTCAGCTTGGCTTAGTTGTTAACAGTCTTGACGCTAGGTTGGAAGCTGTGAGCTTAAGCCTGGGCCAATAGAAAAGTGCAGGCGCACATTTCCGCTACACGACCTTGCCCGCTACAAACCCACGACAAATAGCCCCTCGGCAACTAACCCGTACATACAGTGCGCTAGGGCCCAGATTTCTCGTGCTGTTTGCTCGACACCACTATTATGGCCAGAGCGGCTCCGATCACGCATTGCGCGACACGGTGAATTTGGGATCGCGGAAGTAGAGTGTGCAGGAAATCGACTTCACTGGTGAGTAAACTTCGATAGGAAAAGCTGCTGCACCACACTACTGCGACAAATTCTAGGTAAGTGCTGTATTATTCAAATTAAATTATTTAATATTTTAAACATAACTACATTTTCGGGAAATATACCTTGAATTTTAATCAGGGTTGTTTCATCTTTCAGGTTGCACAATACAAAAATGGCCAAACGTTATTGTAATTCCCGTGAGGAAGTCAAGGGCCAGCACGTCTCATTTTCCATCTGTCCCTCAGATAGAATTGTACTCTATCTAGATGACCTTTATGAAGAAGGGGGACGGTTGTTTTGCCGCGTTTGCTGTCACACAATTGACCATGTTCACAAGCACTACAATACCACAACAAAACTACACTTGTATAACATCTTTCATGTTGGGAGGACATCCCAAGGCTCTTCACAGAATATAATAATAATCCTTGCATTTGAAACAACGCCTTATCACGTCTTCGAGATGTCACAAAGG